CCCAAGCATGTCAAGAGGTTAAGATTTATCTTAACAAGTGTTTTAAAATTAAAGATTTGGGTCACTTGAAATATTTTTTGGGCATCGAGGTTGCCCGTAGCAATGAGGGTATCTTCTTGTGCCAACGAAAATATGCATTAGATATCCTCAAAGAAACAGGTTTGTTGGATTGTAAACCGGTTCAGTTTCCAATTGAACAGAATCATCGCTTAGCTCTGGCAGATGGACCTGACTATGATGATCCAGGTCGCTATAGAAGAATTGTCGGCAAGCTAGTGTACCTTACGATCACTCGTCCTGATTTGAGTTATGTAGTGCACACTCTTTCACAGTTCATGCAAACTCCAAAGGAAGCACATTATGAGGCTGCCATTCGGGTACTAAGATACATCAAAATGAATCCTGGCCAAGGTATCCTCCTTTCTTCCAAAAGTGATCTCAAAATTCATGCTTTCTGTGATTCAGATTGGGCCAGCTGCCCTTTAACTCGCCGGTCAGTTTCTGGGTTCTTCATTATGCTTGGAACCTCACCTGTTTCTTGGAAAACATAGAAGCAACTCACTGTCTCACGCTCCTCAGCAGAGGCTGAGTACCGCTCCATGGCTGCCGCGACAGCAGAATTGATATGGTTGAAGTCTTTTCTTGCTTCACTTGATGTTATCCATGATGATCCTATGGAATTATGTTGTGATAATCAAGCCGCTATACATATCGCGGCAAATCCTGTGTTCCATGAGCGAACTAAACACATTGAAATTGATTGCCATTTTGTCCGGGAAAGGTTGGTTTCTAAGACGATTCGAACTACTTTTGTTCGTTCTCATTTGCAACTCGCAGACATTTTCACCAAAGCACTTGGTCGTGTTCCATTTCTTGCCGTTCTTTCCAAGTTAGGCATTTCATGTCTTCATGCTCCAACTTGAGGGGGAGTGTTGGAATAGAAGATTCTATATGTTGTTATGATTTGCTGTGATATGTTGTAACCTGTAGTTTGTTAGGATATGTATAACTGAGTCCTATTGTAATTAGGTGTAGTTACTTATCTTTAGGAAGTTGTTTTACTATTTGGTAACAGACTGTTTGGTAACAGCCGTAACAGCCTATTCTATTTAAGATACATTGATGTACAGTTTTAAATCAATGGAAATACTATCAATTGATACCATTTATCAGTCCTTTTACTCATTTCAATTTCTTTGTTTTCAGTTTCAAATCACAAGGGTTCTTCATCAACGAATGTGTTAGAAAAACTAAACCATTATCAATTTCCTTTTTTTATTTTGGAGAGTATCAATTTCCAGAAATAGCGATAAACAAGTTTAAAAATTGCTTTGTTTTTGAATTAATGAGACACATACTGACAGTTTGCCTCTTTTTATTACCTCAGTTTTCTTATTGTGTTTTCCTTTCATTAAATCAAACATTTTGCATCGATCAAAACTGAAGATTGAAGCAAACAAAATGTATGCTTTCGTGACAATCTCAAAACATTTTTATTGTTTTACTCATTTGAAATTCTTTGTGAATATTCAGACAAACTGAACTAATATTAACAGCTTGAAATGACATTGAACAAGTTTTAAGAATGCTTTATAATTAGATAATGAGGCCACGTTATTATATCTAACTTTATGAGAAATTTTTGTCACATTCAACATTTGCGTCGATCAAATCACAGTTGATAATTTCACAAATCACTACAGAAGAATTAGATTGAACTATGCAAAATGTATACACTCTTGACTATCTCAAAAACTATTTTTGGTCCTTTAATTCCTTTCAAGTTTGGTTTGGGATTTCGAGTCACAAGGTTCATCATTGAATATGTCCAACAACCTGAACCATTTCCAGTAGCCAAAAATGGCGTTTGAACAAATTAATGAGGCCCATATCGAACAGTTTGCCTCCTTTTATGACAATTCACAGAGTCAATGTTTCTTTAATCACGTCCTACATTTTGCGTCAATCAAAGTACACTTGAAATTTCTTCTCAAGCAAAGTAGCTTGCAAACACAACCAGCTAACAAATTATTTATTTTTTCTGTCTATTTAGAATAAGGGATCTATTAATCTTATGTTGAATCAGATAATTATCTCATGCAACAAATATAAGATTACGGGGTCCACTACTTTTTCAAAAAAAGAAAAAATAATGAATTCTATTATTTTGTCTCAGTTGCATAAGATAATTATCTTATGCAACATGAGACAATTATTTCCCTTAGAATAAACGACACCAAAAAGTATTTTACAAAAATGGACATACACAAAGGTGTTCTGCAGTTAAATCATGTGATTTAAAGTTTCGATAGTAGACATGAAGACAAAGTCAATGACTTATCCGAACAAAATGATATTGAATTTCTATGTGCTTCATCTTGAAATAAAAGGTTGGACTCCTTGCATTGTGCAAGGCACTCTGACTATTACAATACAAAAGAATATTCTTTTGTTTGTGATCGCGCTCCTCCATGAACCTCTTTCTTCAGATTGCTTCTTTACAAACTTGTGTCTTTGCCATATACTCAATCTTTGTTGTAGAAAGTGCCATGATTGACTGTAATGGAGACGCCCAACTCACAGCTCCTCTGTAATTGTAAACACATAGTCCATGGTAGATTTATTTTTCTCCAGATCACTTGCAAAATCAGAATCAACACACCCTCTGATAATATATTTAGATCCTCCAAAATAGGTTCCTTAGATATATCTCAAGATCCTCATAATAGCATTCCTATGCTCTAACCATAATTCGTCAGGTATCAACTAACAACCCTCATTGTATGCGTAGTTTCTGGTCTTGTACATATCATAGCAAACATTAAACTCCCCACTGCTGATGCATACTAATAAACCTTTAGTTATCATGTTTTTAGGGCTAAATAATACATGAATTACATAGTCAAGTGCATGAAAATTTAGGTTTTGTAGTAAAAAAAAAAACATAAAGTTAGATTTTGAGCTAACATAATGTGATTTTGCTCTTTTCGAAGGTGAATTGACACAAAATAATGCAAGAATGAAGTAAAGGACTTAGAGGAGAAGATTGAAGATCAAAGGAAGTCCATATGGAGCAATTCACAAGCAAATTGAACAATGGAATAGCACGCTAATGAAGCAAAAAAAGTCAAATGACCTGGAAGAGCGCACTTTAACGCTCTACAGCACGCTAAAGCAAGCAAGTGGCCCAGAAACAATGAAATTCTCTAGAGGAGCACGCTATCGTGAGGAAAATTCCATTCGAAGAGCACACTTATGCACACTGCAGTGTGCCACAGCACCCTTTGGCAGAGATTTAAGGTGTTTCAGGACTAAAGCGCTCTACTCAACGCTTTAGCGCGCTGCACGATCCAAATTCAGGCCCAACTTATGAAATAACTTAGGGCACATAATGGACACCTATAAATAAGGAATTTCAACACCAATTGAGCAGTTTTTGATAATTATGAAGAGCAAATCCTAATTTGGTGATAGAAGCGCGTCTTTCATGCTTTGGAGCATTAAGAGCGAGTTGATTTTAAGAACACGCTGGGAGCTTTGAGGACTCACAACACCATCACACCAATGGAGTTTGGGGAACCTTTATTGCTATATCTTGTCTTTGATTTCGCTATGCTAGGCTAGATCTTTATGTAATTAGGGATAGATGGAACCCAATTGAATTCTTCTGTTATTGAATTAAATTGTCTCTGAAATTTTTTCTTTTCGTAATTGTATGAATTTATCTATTATTAATGCTTTCTATGAGTTTGCTCTTTATAGATTGATCTAGGGGAATTGTATGACAATGGGAATGTTGGTGCATGAATCGTGATTTGATAAGTTCATCATAATCTTAGTGATCTAGGGATAAACATAGGGCAATTATACAATCTTTAGATTCTTGAACTTAATGCATGTTTTTCTTGAAGAATAGCCGGGGAACTATGATTCTTTCAAGATCACATAGAATTAGGGTAGCAAAGGATTAAGCCTTAAATGAATTAGATGAGTTGATTGGCATTATATTAAGGGCAGTTTCTTGATTATTTAATTCATAACATAAGAAGGATATTGGGGAAAATCGAAACCCTAACTACGCTCTTTCTTGATTATTAAAACCAACTTTATTTCAAGTTCTTGCTTTTAATTATGAATTCTTTTGCTATTGATTAATTTTCGCTTTTAAATTCAAAGTTTTCGTATTAGTTTGTCCAAATAAAGCGCGAGTAGTGAACTAGTGATTGAAATCTAATCCTCGGGGGAACGATCTCGTACTCACGTACACTTTATTACTTTTACGACCGGTGCACTTGCCGAAGTTGCAACAAGTTTTTGGCGCCGTTGTTCGGGATTAGAATCTTCAAAATTAGAAGTAGCTATAAGTACTGTATATTGCACTTTAATTTTCTACAATTTAAAATTCTGCAATTTACTTTTTGCACTTTAATTCAATTTTAGTTTTTACTTAATTTCTCTACTTTCGATTTATGTGAGATACAGTTAATCAACGATCCTTGCAGTTCGACCCGGAGATAGAGAAGACAACTAGAAGAAACAGAAAAATCACAAAGAGAGAAAAGAAAAAAAAAAGCTTCAAGCTTTACTGAACCAAAGGAGAAAAATATGGCTGATAACAACCAAATTAAGAATCATCTGAGGACATTGGGAGACTACATGACTCTAGCTCGAGTTCCTTAAACTGTAAGTATTGTTAAGCCAAACGTGAATGCTAACAACTTTGAGATCAAGCCCTCATTGTTATCTTTAATTCAAAAGGAACAATTTGGAGGAGAAGGCGGAAAAGACCCACATATTCATCTAGAAAATTTTCTGCTATTGTGTGACACTTTGAAGATGAATGGAGTTTCTCGTGATGCAGTCTTGCTAAGTCTCTTCCCTTTTCACTAAAGGAAGATGCAAGAACTTGGTTGCAGACACAACCTCAACGAAGTATCACCACCTGGGATGATCTTTCAACAAAGTTTTTAGCCCGCTTCTTTCCCTATTCAAAGTTAGCCAAACTTAAATCTGATATAGCTTGCTTTGCTCAGAAGGACAATGAATCCCTTTATGAGGCATGGGATAGGTTCAAGAGATTGCTCAGGAAGTGTTCGCAACATGTGTTAGCAGCTTGGGAAAGAGCTAAGATCTTCTTCTCAGTGATGCCACCTGCTTCAAGGTGCTTAGTTAACGCTGCAGCAGAAGGATCATTGAAGACCAAGACTCCAGAGGATGCATTGGAGCTGCTAGAATCTTTAGCATCTCAAGAGTTTGACAATGCTCCAGTGCCACAAAGGAGAGCAGGGATCATGAAGTTGGAAAGTTATGATGCGTTGTTGGCACAGAACGATCAGATGATGCAGATGCATAAGAAGAAATGACAATAGTTAGATGCTTTCACTAAACAGTTAGCTTCTCAACAAGTCTATTCCATTAACACTCCTCTAGTGATTTGCGAAGTCTGTGCGGGTAAACATGCTACAAGAGAATGTGATATGATAGGAGCACAAGAGTCTGCTGAAGTGAATGAGATCTGATATGATCAGAAGAATCAAAGCAACCCCATGAGAAATTAATATGGTGACATATACAACCTAAGGTGGAAGAATCATCCTGGGTTAAATTACAAATCAGCACATCAGCTCAATCCACCTCTTCCAGTGCAGCCACCTCTTACACAACAAAGCAACACTTCTGAGTTAGAGAAGGCTCTTGCATAACTCTCTAAAACTACGTCTGATTTTATATAAGGCACGAATTCATTCAGAGAAGATACATCTACCTTTATGCAAGAAACTAGGACTTTATTCTGGAATCAAGAAGCTTCCATAAGAAATTTTATGACTCAAATTGGCCAACTGTCAAAGCAGATTTCTGAAAGGGCTCAAGGTACCTTTCCGGGAGATACTGTCACCAATTCTAGAGAGCACTACAAGGCCATTACCACTAGGAGTAGGATAGTTATTCAACCTTTAGAGTAACATTCGGAAGAAAAAAAGAAGGAGGGTGAGTCTATAGTTGAAGGAGAAAAGAATAAAAAAAGAGAAAAGCACAATTGAAGTTGAGAAGAGCACTCAGGAGAAAGTTGAAAAGAAATAATTCAAGTAGGAAAAGAAGAAAACTCTTGAAAGGCAAGACAAGCCTTTAGACCTCTCTCCTTATGCTCGTATCTCATATCCTCAAAGGCTTAAACAGGAGATCAAGAAGCATTAGTATACAAAATTTCTTGACACCTTCAAGAAGTTGCAAGTCAATATTTCAGTTGCAATTTTTTTTTAATATTATGAGTGTACCGAATCGTACACCCATTTACTAAAATGGGTAAAAAAAATTCATTTTAACCTTTTTTTTTTTATATTTCTCTCTATATTCCAAAAACTTTCTCATTTAATAAAAGTGTAGAATGTACCAAAAGTTTTCTCTCTGTACAATTTATTTATAATTTGGTTATATATATAGGGATAGGATATTATGACACACAAATAATGTTACGCACAATGTTATGATCACATCTTAACCGTTGATTGGCGGCAATCAACGGTTATCATTTTTCAAATCAAACTCATTAATTAATTATTAATTCATAATAAATGATAACCGTTGATTGACGGAAACCAACGGTTAAGATGTGATCGTAACATTGTACGTAACATTATTTTTGTGTCACAATATTCTATTCCATGTATAATTAGATGATACAATTTTATTTTATTTTTTGAAGCTGTAAATATTTTTCCTATCGTGTAGGTGTACTAGTCCTAAACCGTGACACGCCCCTCTTTTTCTAAATCGACAGGGTTAAGGGTTGAGGAAGGAGGAGATAAAGGGATAACGTTAAATTTTCTTTCCTTCTTGTGGTAAGTAAGTTTGGCTAAAAGGGCAAAATACACTGTTGCAAATTGCAATATTTGAAAGAAGAAAGAGGCCTCTAATAATTGCTATTTGTTGGTGGGGTTAGTTTGCGAGACCATTCTATTTTTCACTCTCACTCTCATTCTCAAAATGGGAATGCCAGCAGGGGAACTCTGCAGGCAACAGTATTCATATTCTCCTCCTCCTCCTCCTCCCATTTTCTCCAATCTGAGTTCGGATTCTGGTTCATTCACTGGAGCCAGTGGAGGGTTGTTTCTCGAACCGGAAATTCCTGATTGCATTGTTCGTTATTTTTCGTTGAGGATCCTTGCAACAACTGCTTCTTCTGAATCCAATCGGAGGAGGGTTCCGGGTGGGTGTTTTATGTCAGTGAGCTTGCCAAGTGCTAAGCTTGTTGCCGAACCCCAACTGGATGGTGGGGACCACAAGGAGACAACCTCCGACGGTGTCGTTCGGCCACCCAAGGTTAGGGTACGAGGAGGTAATGCCGTCAACACAACAAAACACCTTTGGGCTGGTGCTATTGCTGCTATGGTTTCTAGGTATATTTGTTATTTAATTTGATAACACCACCTACTTTGAGTTCGGAATTAACAGATTCTTGTATTTTTGTTTGTCTGACATTTATGTTTTTTTGTTACATACTGTGAATGCGTTTGGGTGTTTCAGAACTTGTGTTGCCCCGCTCGAGAGACTTAAGCTGGAATATATAGTTCGGGGTGAGAAGAAGAATATATTTGAGCTTATTAGAACAATTGCTACTTCTCAAGGTTTGAGAGGCTTTTGGAAGGGGAACCTTGTAAACATTCTTCGAACAGCTCCATTCAAAGCGGTTAATTTTTGTGCTTATGATACATATAGAAAGCAACTACTCATATTCTCTGGAAATGAGGAAACTACCAATTTTGAGAGGTTTATTGCTGGTGCTGCAGCTGGGATCACTGCTACTGTTATTTGTCTGCCACTTGACACTGTATGTCGGAATTTGAATTATGATTTCTTAGTTTGTTTTCTCTGTTATGGCTAACTTGTATGCATGTGCATAAATTCACATGTAAAAAGAAAAGAACACACAGGCACAGCAACATGCCCGTTATGCATTGATATTGAGAGTTCTTTGAATTCGTTGTTTACTATGGACCCAATCAGTGAGCTTTTAACTATTCCTATTAATAACGTACTATAGTAGTGTTTATCCCTTTTAGTTTCAGGAACTGAATAGCAACCTTCTAGTTGTATGTGTCCAACACCTGTCTAGTCTCCAGGCCTTGGTGTGAACATGTGAAAAATCAACTGAACATTTTAAGTTCTTAACTTTCTTTTGTTAAGGAAACATTTGGACTGATTTATTTGGATATGGCGTCACTACCAATTGAAGAACATGGGGAAAGAAATTCTTGTTGGTAATTTCACTACTATACTGATGTAAATCTTAACCCAAAAAAAAAAAAAAGACTTTTGTCCTTCTATGCAGCACGATTGTTTCTTTGTTCCTGTTTAGCTGGCTGTGCCTTGTGCCCGAATACTTATCTGGAAAAGAATTGTTTAATTAACATAAGATGTTTCATATGGACATGAATCCTCACAGATTAGCTTCTAAATGGCCATATCATGTTAGTAGAGAGATAGACACAACAGTGGGTCCCTGTAGGTCATGTTAGAAGCTGAAATAAGAGGATCCAAATCTGTTTCATATCCCTTTCCAAGTAATTTCTTAATGGTGACTTGTAGTAAAATGTTGCGACATGAAGTTACATGGTCCATATATGCTTTCTTCAATCAGTGTAAACACCTGAATCATATATAAAAAGTTAGGTTTTGTAGCAAATATAAACAAAAGTGTACACATTCAGCTATTTGTAGTGTAAACACTTGGAAAAATTTACTATGTGGTGCCTTTCAGATCCGGACCAAGTTGGTGGCACCTGGTGGAGAAGCTCTGGGCGGTGTAATTGGTGCTTTCCAATACATGATTCGAACTGAAGGATTTTTTTCTCTTTACAAGGGTTTAGTACCATCAATTATAAGTATGGCTCCTTCGGGTGCAGTTTTTTATGGTGTATATGATATACTGAAATCGGCTTATCTGCATTCACCGGAAGGAATGAAGAGAATCCAGAATATGCATAAACGGGGGCAGGAACTGAGTGCCTTTGATCAGCTTGAGTTGGGGCCAGTAAGGACTTTGTTGTATGGGGCTATTGCTGGTGCATGTGCAGAAGCTGCTACATACCCATTTGAAGTGGTGAGGAGGCAGCTTCAATTGCAAGCCCAGTCAGCTAAATTAAGTTCTCTAGCAACTTGTGTCAAAATAGTGGATCAAGGAGGCATTCCAGCTCTCTATGCAGGTCTTATTCCCAGCTTACTACAGGTATTTAAATTCTTAACTTCTTGGCATGCCCTAGTTACTTGTATTTTACTGGACTTACTATATTTATCAGTTTGGATAGCTATTTCCAGAGGAACTAGGATTATTTTATTGCCAATCCGTTCATATTGATGATTCACTAAAATAGAACTACTTATATTTTTTAATGTAGGGAAAATAGATTGTGGTTCATGAAGTGTGTTGTTTCTTTTTAGTCATATAATCTAAACTTCATTTTACATTACCATGTGGTCATTACGAGTTGGCTTTGCTTCCTTATGGTCCTTCTCTAAATATCTCAACATAGCAAAGTCTTATCTATGAAATTTGACTGTTCCTGGTAGGAATGTAGGATTATTTTCCCCTGTAATATTGCATAATATCATTTGTATATGCCAAAACGAAAACCATTTTATCTGTTTATCAGGGAGGTGTATAGATTAGGGACCATTATGAAAATTCTATGTTGCTTTAAGATCATCTTCGGCTGTGTTAAATTTAGATCTTTAATATTGCTTTGCTTTTTACATATATATTTTTTATAAATTATAATGATCATGCTTCCAATTTCTTCCTTTTTGATTTCCATATTGCTTAAGGTTTCTTTTTATTAATCATAAACGATGTTGTTAGGATTGCAAGTTATATCGTAGGATCGTAAGATCCTACAGTTTTTGTGCCTCATGGGTGAGATCGCCTTCTTAGATTGTAAAATCGGTGGAATCGTGCGATGCCACCGTTCCAGCGATTCTGAAAAAAATCCAAAAAACAAAACGCAGAAACCATAGAAGGGAGAGAGAGAAAGATGTCCAGAAATCCAAATCCATTTCGGAAGCCTCTAGCACTTTCAGAAAATCCAAATCCATTTCGGCTTCTCCATCACTGCCCTCTAACACTGTTTCTGCGGCAAAAAGCTTCTTGCATCGATGGCCAAGGGTGTTTGGTTCATTACGGAGAGAGCAGAGACCCTTGCGCCTTCGTTCCGTAATTTCGTCTACTGAGAGGCGACGAACAGGGATGGTGTTGATGCAGGTTTGAGAGCTATTTGGGGAGGTGGTAGCTGCTGGCCTAACTTGGGGGTTAGGGATTTTTAGACTCGGAGTGGAAGGTGATTGACATGTTGAGAGACAAGAAAGGAAGAGTTGGACGTTTCGGGTCTCAAAAAGTTTTGCAAGCCTAATTGCAGCTGAGAGAGTATTGGATCTATTTGCTATCATGTCGGACCTAATTGCACTGTGCAGGAGTATCAAATCCAATTTGAAAAAATTGCTAGGTAGGTAGGTAGGCAGGTTGGAGATGTCAAGACAAGTGAACTGTTTCATTAGTGGGTTTTCATGTTTGAATTTTATCGTTTATGTGATTTTAATATTTTACGATCTGTGTCGATTTAAGATTTGTTTATCCCTTTTCAATCTTAGGTAAAATCTAGATCTTAACAACATTGGTCATAAAAGTTTAATACCCTGCAAACCAAAGAACTTAGTAAAGTGTTACTGAAAGCTCTATAAATAGTGGGTTTCGTACTCCCTTTGGGACACAATACACCAGCTAATTGATACTTGTACACAACACTCGTTCAAAAGCTTAATTCATGGCCATGAATAATCCTTTATCTTTCTGTGCTCCTTGTTGCTCTGGTGCTGTTTTCTGCAGCCTAACTAAGCATATTTTAATTTCCCATGTCCAGGTACTTCCTTCAGCTTCAATAAGTTACTTTGTCTATGAGTTCATGAAGATTGTTCTCAAAGTGGAGTAGGCTATTAATAGATTCTCAGGTATATTCTGATGAGAAGCTGTAGTATGATTTATCAGCGACCACCTAATATAGTTGCAGAATGGTAACGTTGAACTTCAATTGGCAATCATATTTGATGTCTGCCTTTGACGATGAAAGCATAATTCAGGTCTACACTCCCGTAAATTTGCATGTATTACTAACAGACGTTTTTTGGATTGACTCTACGGTTACCCAGGCTTCAAGTCTGCAAATAAATTTATTTAGTCACTGCCAGAACTTGACTCATATTCTTATTGGGTCAACACATTTTTGGTAAAACTTTTTTCCATCTTGCAGTTGGTCATGATCATTATCATGGGTGTCCAAGCAAGTACCGTTACTTTAAGTTGTAACTTGTAACGTACATTACCTTATCAAATGATTGGTGGGATTGTGAATCCTATATTGAGAAAGGAACGTTCCATAATGGTGCCTGAAGAATTTAGTTACGACAAAGATTGAAGGCGTTTTTCACATGTTGTTGTTTAGCGAAGAGCACCCAACTAACGTGTTCTCAAGCTTTCAAGTATATTCAACTCCTTCATATGCTTGTGCTGGAGATACATCTAAAATCTGATTCATTTGTGCTTTCCATAAAAGACAGGCAGAAAAGCTTGTCATTAAAATGTTTTAAGAGCGCTATTGGCCGAAGCATTTTATTTAAGCGTAAAGTATATCAAGATCAAATATGCACTTAGTTTGAAAGAGAAATACTACCAAAACCCTGGATTAACTATTAATCCAGGAATTTTTTTAGTTTTACCAGTGATTTTGAGTCTGAGTCGTAAGGAATGCAGTTTGTTAAAACTTCAGAGTTTTGTTGTTTTATCCGATTCAAATCGGACTATTCAAATAATGAATGAACTTATAGATAATATAAAAAAAAAATATAAAATGAAATCAATCCTTAATTAGTAAAAAGAAAAAGCGGTAGAATGGTTGATCGACCGCAGACCCTAGCATTTAATTCATTTTAATTAGCAATACGGCACGTGCATTGTACGCTGGACCATGCATTCAATGACGGTCCAACTGCCATCGTTGAATGTACCCCGCCAAAAAAACAACAACAAAAATTGAGTGCCCTCGTACGTTGATTGCCGTATGGGCCATTCTCCACATAACTAAACAGTCCTGTTCTGAGACCAATCCATAAAAAGTGGGCTTACATATCAAAGAGTTTGTTATGGTCCTCCTTTTTCACTCGAAGATCTTATCTTTTGATTTAGATATTCTTAGGTCATAGTAGATAAATTTAGTCTCGTGTGTGTGTCTATATATATATATATATATATATATATATATATGCAAAATTATTTCTTGCATCCGTTGTACGTACAGCAACGACAGGTGTATGGTTATGATTCTCTATATTTAATGTTTTCATCCTTTGTATGATTATGATTCCCCGCATTTAATGCTTTCAAATATATATATGGAAATTATTTGATTGTTGCACATACAGCAACTGTAGAAATGTAAATCTCATATATATATATATATATAGGGAGGGGTTACATTTACAACTCAAATAGTTTACAAACTATAACAACCATATCTTAACCGTTGATTTTCGTCAATCAACGGTTGTCATGTTAATTAATAATTAATTAATAAATTTGATTTGTGAAAATCTTAACCATTGATTGACGGAAATCAACGGTTAAGATGTGATTGTAAGAAGTTGTAAACGAAAATAGGTTTAAGAGATATGAGGTAGGATCCTTTGACACAAGTGTCAAATTTGAAGTTTGACACCTCATCTGATAGCCGTTAGATTAAAAAAGATCAACGACCCTGATTTGTAAGCATGTGACATCATTGATCTTTCTTAATCTAAAGGCTATCAGATGAGGTGTTAAACTTCAAATTTGACACTGATGTCAAAGGATCCTACCTATATATATATATATATATATATATATATATATATAAGTGTAGGAGTTCATATTTTCTCATTCTCTCTTCTTTTGACACTAGCTGAAATGAAGGGATCATTACCATACATAGCTCTATTTGGGATTATAGGGAGGACTCTATTTTAGTCCTTATCATTTATAAGATCAAAATGAAAAAGGGGATGAACTCATTTTTATCATCCTTTTTTATATTCTATTCTGCAGAAAAAATGAAACACTTCTTCAACAGTCACTGCTACAGTTTATGGATTCCTCCAAAGTAAACAAATTTAAGAAACAAAATTTTAAACGTACAGCTAAAATTGGAGTTATGAAGAATCTGCAGTTGCTTCCACAAAACTCGTTAATCATTCGTTACCCTGATACATACTCCCACCATTTGTACATAGTATATCCATAAACCACGCCATAAGCAATCACCCTCAAAGGAGAATTCGCAAATCTGTACCAAAGAAAAAATTTCCAATAACAAATTATTCAAGTAACATTAGTCTATGCACCAACTCCTACTCCTACTAATGATGAGACAGGTATTTATTCACCCTCTCTGCTCTCTCTTATGGCAAACCAAATTTATGACCATAATAATAGATGGTGTACGAATTGAACTCATTTCAAGAACACTATTTCTAATTAAAGTCACAAATGTTAAAAGAAATGTAATACAAAATTATTAAATATAATATTTTTTATACTTTAAATTTTTAGGTTGAATTAGTTATTTTTATATTATCAAAACCTATGTGATCACCTTACTAATTCATTTTATTAATAAATAATTAAGTAATTTAAAGTTTTTTTATAGAAGTTAATTGAATTCCAATTAGTAATTAATCCAAGGGAAATATAAGAAGTTTTTTTCACCTAAACGAATTAATACTATATATTACGTATAGTATATAGTTATAATTTTAAATTTTTGTCCTTTTTTCTCCTAAAAAATTGTAGTTGATGTGGGGAAGAAAAAAAATACAACTTTAATATTATAATTATATATTATCCTTAGTATATAATATTAATTGTTGCAAGAAGAATCAAAAGTTGGGACCCTTAATCCAAATCCAACCTTAAAAGTTTTCCCAGCAACCAAATAGAAGGCAAATATATATTATAAGTTACCTTAGGAATCCAGATGGTTGGGTAAGAAGAGAGGCTTCTCTTTCCTCAGAAGTAACAGGGTAAGCCCAACGAGAGAAATCACGGTTGAAGTAATCCCAATCAGGTAAGAGTATAGCAGCAATCCCAACAACACCCAAGACATAGGTAGCCATCATCTTCTTGAAAGAGTGAGTGCATATTCCAACCACTAATATAACTGCCGCCAGCCAAAGGAGAGAGGTCTTAAGAGCGGCGTCGTTTGCCATGGTGAATGCCGCCAATATTAGAGGCTGTGAATGGAAGAAGAAACTTGTTGGGATTAGATTCAACCACGGTAATTGGTTAAGTAAAAGGGCAATGACAGCAACGCTAGCGTGAGGCGTATTAGCTTTAAATGCCACCCCAACGCTCACTCTTCATTCTATAGTTTTACATTTAATGTTGCCGTTGGCGGGTGCTATTGTTTCCTACTTACTCTTTATCATACAGCGTCTAATGGATGGCCCATTTATTTTGGATTTTAATAACTTATATTTACGCTATATTTTAAAACATTTTTTATTTATTTACTTTATAGATAAAGTTTATTATCTTTTTTTATGCTTAATAGTAATTCGCCTTTAAAAAAAGCGACATTTAAACGTTAGAATACGCTGAACCCAACACATGGGTTAACCTTGTCATTTATAGTTAGGAGTGACAATTTAGGTCAATACGATACGATACAACATGACACGAATTTGATACAAACACAAATACATTCAACACGAACATAACATGAATTTGACATCTGATCAAAACTTTCGATACGAACATGGCCCACTTCTTTTATGGGTACACGACACAATACGAATACCCCGCAGACTCATAATGTATCGTTTATTATGCGGGTTTGACACTACATGACATGACATGAATAACCTATCAACCCAAAATTGTGTTATTTTTTATGCGGGTTGACACGATATAATCAAAAACGAATAACATGTTTATAATGCGACACAATACAAATAACTTCAAAGAAGATTAATGCAGGTCAACTTTGGGTTGGTGAATTGACATGTGACATGACACAAATTTTTTTGGATCAGATTTTGTCAAACCAAACACAACATGAATTTGAAAATGAATCAATTCGAATACGAATTTTTCGTGTTCATTTCATATCGTGTCAGTATCTCATATTAAAAATTGTCATCCACCCTTATAGCCATTTGGGATGGTTGAAGGTCTCTAACTATTTTTTTTTAAAGGATTTTGTGACGAAAAATGAAAATAAATTTTTTAATAATTTGGTTAATTAGTTGTGAAAATAGCAAAAAGTGCACTAAAAAATAATTTATTATGATTTTTCTCGTTTACAGGTCAGCTATTTTGTTCGTCGTACTTTGATTGGAACGCAACAACGCTGGGACAGGGACATGTTTCTTCTGAAAGAGTAGCAACGTAATGAAGTAATATGTTTTCTCCGTTTCTTGCTGATTCATATGGAAAGTTCATGATAAACTAAATTTGGTATTATTCTCAGTATTATCCCTCACCATGGATAAAACTTGTTTTGCGAGCCAATATCCTGTACTCGAGATATTCTTAATTAGTTAGCGTAAAAGTATTTTTAAAAATAGGTATATTTTTAGAAGAAAAAAAAGTGTCTCTCTTATCATTTTCGACAAAAAATAAATAAATTAAAATATTATTATTCAAATAAAAAATTAAAAAAAACATAATATTTTAAAATTAATTTATGGATTTATTATACTCAAAAACATTTAAAATAGACAGAAGTACTCACATTTAATTTAGATGCATTTGAGACTTGAAACACGTTTTTTATAGACGCAACTGGTCCCGACTCAATTAGACATAATTTGCCCAAGTGTTGGGTCACACTTAATTGAAGCGCGACACTTCAAATCCACAGTGCTTCACGCTTTCGATTGCTTAGACAGCTACCTTTAGGTAGTGTTTGGTTGGGGAGAAATTTTTTAATACTAGGGAAATGTAAATACTAGAGATCTGGAGGAAAAGTGAGTTAGATAGGAAAGTTGTAAAAAAGTTGTTTGGTTGGGCAAAATTTTACCAGGAAAATTGAATTAAATTTCTGAATGTGTTTGGTTGAAGATAAAATATTGATGGAAAAATTTAATGAAATTTACAAAAATATCCTAAAAAAACACCTCCGTGTTATACTGTTCAGAACCTATTTTTTTTCTTACGCAGTAAACTGAAGCAGGGGTAAACTTGACCAATATTTCATCACCTTTTTCATTTATCCGATTTTGAACAACAATTCCACATCTTCAAACGGTTTCTGAACAGTGCATTTCTCCAGTTTTTGGTCCTCTTTCTCGTTTCCTAGCCAAGTGAGTTAGATGGGAAAATCTATTGAAAATCCCCAACCAAACGTGGTGAAGACAGGTACCCACATACACTTACCCATCAAAAATTTTACTTCTCCCCAATCAAACATCACCTTAAGGTCAATTTTGACCTTAGAACAGTTTTATTTCCTGCACTGAGTGACCGGTTCTGCTTCTAATTATTCATCCGAGAATTCTGCTTTTTATTAAACTATGACACGTAGCATCCGCATCTTGAAAAGAAACAATGCAACCGTAGAAGAAGGTATTTTTTTAATGGAAAAACATTTTCTCATGTCGGAGAAAAGTTATTTTTTTCTACTAGTGACTTTTTGATTTTTGTGCAACATTTTTTTTTGTTTTTTCAATTTTTAATAGATGTGGGCTCCACATGAGATGTGTCTATAACATAAGAAAATTTTCATTTATCGCATGAGAAAATCAAAACCCTTTTTAATATACTCCACGAATATAAAAAAAATTTGTGGTCCTTTTTTTTTCGGGTAAAAAAAATACTCTTATACTCCTTTTTTTCTTATAATTCTCCTTTTATTTCCTTTTATTTTTTATTTTTGGAACGGACCATCTTGTCCACAGTAGATGCGCTCATAGAGAAGGATGCATCAATCTTCGCTATTTTAATGTTGCTCGATTTTAGCTGTTCTGTGAGTGGAATAAAATTTCTTACATACTCGAGGAGCAATTATTTTTCTGGGTACAATTAATAATAGTTAGTTGAAATTTGGCTAATTTATAGATCATTATTCATTTTTGGGGTTTCAACTTCTCTCCTGGGAGAAGTTTGAAACTTGTAGCAGAAACAAAGTTATAGTGGAGATCACCTGAAGAAATAAATAAAAAAACAATAGTCACGGATCTTGAATTGAGAGTGATATGATAAAATGATTTGCAGTAACATAAGAACTATTTTTGACTTCATAGATTTTATGATTCTCATGTTACATGAGAAAGAAATTCTTATGCCATAAAGACAAAAAATTATGTAAGATCCATAAGTTAGAAAAAATTATATGTGAGACCTATATCAGTAAAAAAAATTTACACTCATGTAGAATTATAAAACCCTTTATATTTATGTGATATCTGTATTAACAAAAATGGGATCAATGGATGATTGCACCTGCAATCCTATTTCAAGACATAATATGTTTAGGTGCTTTGCAAGCCCTAATCTGAAAAGCCCCTCCATTTGTTGGGCTCGATTGGACTAACGTGAGCTAATTGTATTTCAAAACGGTGTAGATGGAGGATTAACCTTCACCGACAAGAAAGTTATTATTCAAACCGAAGGGGGAAAATTGGGTCAATAATTTTTTTCCAAGATGCATTGTTTAATAAAAAGCAGAATTCTGTTCAATAATTTACGGTTGCATTGTTTCTTTTCAAGATGTAGATGCTCATGTCATAATTTTAATAAAAAGCAGAGTTCTTCAGCGAGGAGTGAAAAGAAAAGAACCTCGATCCTCATATATAGGGTTAAATATCTTTATCCTAACTTGTTTCGTATTCTGAATTAATTCCATAACTAACTCAAAGAATTAAAAAAACTTATAAGAATACTGAGGTGAAGCCAACTTACCTAAAAAAATAATAAGGATTGACTTAACTAAAAAAAACAGAATCGGTCACTCAGTGCAGGAAATAAAGTTGTTCTAAGGTCAAAATTGACCTTAAACGATATTTGTCTAACCGGATTTGTAGGGTCAAGCTCAATTTGCGTGTGACACTGTGCTGGATGATGCCTAATTGGAATGCGACTAGTCATGCGTATTCCAAGCCTCAAAGATGCCAAAATTAGGCATAAGGATGGTAGTTAAAATAAGGATTTTACTTAAAATCGAAAAAAAAGATAAACAATCGTTAAACGTAAAATTTTAACGTAAAAAAATTATAAAATTGTAAAAGCGTTTGAAATTTTGATGAAATCGTTTTAATTAAAAAAAATCGTAAAATCATAAAATCGCAGATTTAAATCGAGATTTTAACTGCCATGAGCATGAGTGCTCATGCTATTTTGGACATGACTCAGGGCTTTTTGACCCTTATGACCCTTAATTAATAATTAATTACCAAATTGCCCTTCATTCAAAACTATTTCGAAAATTTACCCTCCCCAACAAACATAACACCAATCTGCCCCTGTTTGACCGTTGACCACGAAGCCTACCCGGGTACACCATTACCTACCCGGGTAATTTTTGAAAATTTTTTATCTACCCGAGTATGTAGGAGTGTACCCGGGTAGAGTTCTTGAATCTGGAAAGATGGTTGAATTATTTACCCGGGTATGGATCAGTGTACCCGGGTAAATCGCGTCCAGAAACCCCAATATGTATGGGTTTCGGCCATTGTTGCGAGGTATAGGGTTTTTGAAACCCCAAATCTCTCTCTCTTACCCTCTCTAATCCGAAACATCACACATATTTCATCTCATCATTTCAGAAAGCTGAATCTTGGTGGGACATTGAGATTACATCTCCACACTCCCATTTTGTGCTCAAAAATCCGAACCAACCTCCAAACCCAAAACCTAGATCTAATTTTTGTGTGAAAGATGAGTTCAAGTCCAAACATGGTTCCTATAGTTATTTACTACAATGGGAGGCATTTTGAAGGTCCAAACGGTGTTCGATTTGAAGGAAAAACAAAAACGATGAAAATCAAAGTGGGCACTACATGCAATGAACTGAAGGAGAGAATTCTTCAAAAAATGGGGTCAGAAGGCATACATTCCATCCACCGCATGATAGCCAGGTTAGAGACTGTAGTGGATATGGATACAATATACTACATTGGAAACGATATAAATGATGATGAAGATGTGGAGTTCGTAACAGATGCGTTTGTTGAATGGAAAGTATTAAAATATATTGAGATATATGTTGAAGTTGATGTTGGACAATCTTCATCTTTACCGGTGCATACAACCACTACTGCACACTGTACCGGTCAAGAAGATACAGTTGTACGATCTTCTGCACCTCCTCAGGTAGCATTGGATGAGGATGAAGAGGATGA